CTGTGCCTCCAGTTCAATTAGATCCTCGTTACTTAGCTCTTCTGCTACACTTTCACCAACTGCTCAACATCTTCATTATCAATTTCTAGCTCCTGATGTTTACCCATGTGCTCTATCTTGTTATTAATCTCAGAAATTGCTTCATCTTCTTTAAATCCTTTGAAACTGTTCACATATCTTTTCAGGACCTTCTTTCATATTCCATTCATGCACTGACCTGTAACCTCATCCCATGCTGCAGCTATGTTCTTTGCACATTGCAAAATGTTGTAGTCCTTCCAAAACTCTCTGAGCGTTTTCTCACCTTCAGTAGCAGCAACAGCCTGAGCGAAGGTCGTACGTAAATAGTACGCTTTAAAAACAGCAATAGCACCTTGATCCATGGGTTGGATGATAGAGGTAGTGTTAGGTAGACTACCTTAACATCAGGGTGCAGGTCGTCTAGGTGTGGTGGGTGTCCCGGAGCATTATCTAACATTAATAAAATCTTGAAGGCAACCACTTGTTGCAGACAATACTCCTTGGCTCGAGGAATGAAACAACTCGGGAACCAATCTTCAAACAGTGCTAGGGTCATCCATGCTTTCTTATTACTGCGATAAAACACTGGAAGTGTGTGCATGCTCACATTTTTAAAAACCCTTGGGTTCTCTGAATGGTATATCATGAAGGGTTTTGCCTTGAAACCAGCTACATTCTCCCCCAACAGAAGTGTGATTCGGTCCTTGAATCCCAGCATGGTTTTTGCCTCTTAGTGGATGTATGTCAGTTCTGACATGTGTTTTCAGAATAAGCCAGTTTCATCCACATTAAATATTTGCTCAGGCAAATAATTTCCCTCCATGATGACACGATCTAGCTCCTCCTTAAAAGCTTCAGCAGCTTCCACATCAGCACTTGCTGCTTCTCCACAACCCTTACACTGTGCAAACTGTAACATTTCTTAAACCTTTGAAACCACCCATAACTTGCTGTGAAGTTTTGGTCGCACTCATCTCTTGCTTGCTCTTTCAGGCTTTCGAAAAGGCTTCTTGCCTTAGCCTGTATGGTTAGAAGGCTTAAAGGTACATGCTTTTGCAGCTGATCTTCCATCCACACCACAAGTAATTTCTCCATCTCATGAAGAGGACCTTGTCTTTTTTTCGGTATTATTGTTCCCTTTATAGGTGCTGCTGATCCTTTCACTACCTCACGAATTCGTTCCATGTCCTTTAAAATTGTTGATATCGTCAAGTGAGAGAAGCCAAGGTCGCGTGAAATGGTTGCTACCGTTTTTCCATTTTCATATTGCTTTATTATTTTAATTTTTATCTCAAAAGTAATTGACTGTTTATTTTTCTTCTCAGCCCCACGAGAACTCTCACTTTTACACTTGCCAGCCATTTTAAAGGGAATTACAAACAAAAATTATGTCAGTACACAGCGCGATCACTAACAACAACGACGGCCAAACACCAATTGAGCGGGCTATGGCGTGGATGCTGTACACCACGAGGCGGCCCATCCCAAGCTATCGTACGGTGTCACATTACGACCAAACGTCGGTACTTGAAAATATGTAATGTGAAAAATATTTTATACGACCATTGCCGTCGTATGTCCGGGTTGTCGTAAATCGAATATGTTGTAAGTTAAGGAGAGACTGTATATATGTGTGTGTGTGTGTGTGTGTGTGTAGACACACACACAAAACACATACAAATAAATAATAATGAGAAATTCCTCTCACAAATAATCAGAAACAAGACAACAAAATGTATTAAAAATGTGAGAGTCCACCCTCAACTCAACTCTGTGATTTGTCATTGAAGTTAACTTTAATAACAAAGCACGCCATTCTGTGGGCTATACCCCATTCAAATTACCCGTAGAATACGGATTATCTGAATGTACTTACTGTTGCATAAGTAATATATGTTGCAACTGCAGAAGAACTGAACTGAGACATTAATAGAAAACACATGAACTGTATGTATGAGAATCGGGCATGGGTCAAGTGCGTAGTTGGGCAGCTCACCCTGGCTTAAGTTGGAGATAACAGTGTTTAAAATTGTGTGGGATATCATTGTTTTATATTTCAAATAACACTTACAAAATGATGTGTACAGTCACTATGTCTTCTTGTAAGAAGATGAAGATAAGCAATTACAGTACTGTACTGTAATTTAATAACTGTGCAGTACAGTACAGTATATTGAAAATATCAGGTGTGTTTCCACTGGAAATAATAATATAGTACAGTGTATGTACTATTCATATACAGGGGGTCCCCAGGTTACGAACGGGTTCTGTTCCTGAGGACATAAGTACCGGTAAGTTGGAACACATGTTATGTGCATACCGTACTTACAAAACAATTTTTTAAAGCCTCTATATCATAGCCTTAGTCTTTATATACATCTAAAATCACTTAATTTAAGACAAAAGAAGAAATAGAATTACAAAATTCAGTACGTTTAACCCCATTCTTATCGGTGAGCATTCGTAAGTCGGGGACCTCCTCCATGAAAAAGGAAAATGTGCTGGAGAATATATTAATCTTCTTGTCTTTCATAAGATAAGTGGTGAGGTTGTGTACTATGTGTTGAGGATGGACAAACAGTTGAGTTACCAAATAGGGAATTGATTTATATTTTAATGTTGTGCTACATAATGTATCTGGTGGCTCACGTATTGAACACAAAAATCAATTTCTGCTGTGCAGGGAATCCCCGATTGATGTTGCTTCACTGATTGTAGTTTTGCTATAATGCACAGTACTGCACACCCTGTGACTGTACCATTCTGTACTGATGTAAGCAACTCAAATTTTTGCCAGAAATTTATGTGGGATAGCATAACCATATTACTAGGACTGAAGTGGGTGTCTGACATTGCTCTTGCAAACTCAGAGATTAGCTACATACTCTCATTCATTTCACAGGCAAATGTTTACTGTACATTAATGTTACCAGCACCACACATTTCATGAGTTTGTGATGTTTTACTGTATTGATGGCGAGTTGATTTTTATTATTCCTGTATCAATAATTGTTTAATTGTTCAATTTGTTGTTTCTGCTGTCTGTATTGTATATATATGGACATAATATTTATGACAGATATTACAGTATTTGTATTTAATTTGTTTGTGTAATGTTACAGTGGCAAAAACTTAAGTCAGGAATTTATATTCAAATGATATAGTACTGTACTTGCATTTCAGTTGGAAAATGTGTTCTGTTTAATGTAGTTTCACATAATACAGTGTTTTTACAAGAATGCATGTGGTTTATTAAGTGGAGTACCGGTACACCTTTGTAGTGTGTGTTATTAAATGTTGGTGGTGTAACAATTTCATGCAATAAAAAATTTAAGAGGAATGATGGGCTGCTGCTATGCACGTCAATTGTGAAATACTTTACTATGCCCTTGTATCATTCAGTGTGTTATATAACAGCAATTTGGTAAAGTGTTCCTCGCCAGAAATAACTTGTTTTAAGGGGTGAATTCTTGCAATTTGATAAAACTCAACAACTTAGTCAGTTTACTCATACAATAAACCCTCTTTGTATAGACTAATTGGGGGAAATCCAGTCCATATTAAGCAAATTTTCGGATAAAGCGATTTCCAGCTGGGGTATATTTAATCTGGGAAAGTCTGGGGTAACCAAGAAAAATCCAGACGACAATCTGGATTGCTGCCTGGCACACACGAATGTCAGTCCCAGCCACTTTGTTTACAAGCCAATTGCACTGCTAAGCCCTAATTTGTGCATACCTCCTGTGGACTATTTGTGACTTTGTGGGCTAATTACCATGGCTTCCAGAGGTTAAACAACTTCATTGGGAAGTCAGAAGACAGCCAGAAAGGAGTTTAGTTTGAAGAACAAGCTAGCAGTTCTGGAAGATCATGAAAAGGGTGTGTCTGCAAAAGTTGAAGGAGAAATATGATTTTAAAAAAAATCAACCTTCAACGGCATCACCAACTTTGTGGTCAAAACTGTATGTCCAGTGTACAAGAATGATATTTATTATACTGCAGGTTAGTGGTTCAAGTGATTCAAGAGTGTTTATTTATTTTTGCCAACACGTGAGTAGATCCTGACTATTTCATGTTAATCCGGACTCAATCTGAATTAACAGAAGTTAGTCTGGAGTGGTTTGCCAGTTCGGATAAAGCAAAAGTCAGGATAAAAAGAGTCTGAATTAAGCGGGTTTTACTGTTACTTGGATAACTCATTCCTTGGATCGTGCAGTCTGATTCTTTTTATTTAGAGTGATGTCCTGTTGCAGTTTTAGGAATTAGTTCTTTCTAAACAGTGCCTTGTTGGTGTCTTGGCCAATTTGCCTCCAGTATGAGACATGTGTGCCTAGCTATTATACTGTACAATGTTTTATGTTCTATGTGGGTGATATAGCCACCATCAGCAAATGAACTTTTTATTTTATTTTTAAGGTGTGTTCTGGTACATTCCTGGATGATAATATCAATGACAAATTTGTTTAAAATTTGGAAGTACAGTACACAGACTTGGTATTGATTTTCCTTACCTTTCAACATTTGATTTTTGGTGCTTAACTACATTACTGTACAGTACAGTACTTTGAAAGTAATTCTCTGATACTTTCTTTATTTTAGAAACCTGCATAGATGGTTTTAATATGCAAGAAGGCAAAATTTATTGGTTTTCCTTAATGATACCTTTGAAATTGCCTTTACAGTATATAAACTGGGGAAGGAGTTGGTGTTAATTTTGTGTCAGTAATGAAAATATTGTACTGTACAGTATATTTAATTGTATATAGAGTATTTTTTTGTAAGTTTTGCCAAGCCTTGTGTAGGAATCGGTATAAGTACGTTTTTTTTTTTTTTATACGTATATGTACTGTATAATTACAGTACAAGTATTAATAGTTATACATTTTGCATTAGGCTTGTGTGGTAAATTGGTTGTTGTGCTGTATTTACTGTGTTTTTTCACAAGTGAAAATAATTGTGAACGTTTATTACTCTTCCAGTCTAAACAAGGCTACCCGGAGAAAAAATATGAAAACAGAAGTGGTGGTGGCTTTGTGTCTGGAATTTATGAGGTGAGAGAATGGTTGCTTTGAATTACAGTAGTTTACTACAAAATTTATTTTACTGTATTAATAGAGTTAATCCTTTTTTTTAGTACAGTACAGTACTGGAGTACTGTACATTACAATAAAAAATTATTTCTTGCTTGATGTATCACAAGAACGAATTAGTAGTAATTTTTAAGTATAGTACAAACTGAATTTCTAAGATATGAATTATTGCTAAGTGATTAACTGTGCTGTACAGGTAGACCCTGATTTTTTAAAGGGTAACACTCCTGAAAAACTTTTTGTAAATAGATTTTTTGTAAATTGAAGCCCATTTTCCCATAGACTACCTATAAAAGCTAAAGTACATTCCTATGAAAAATAATTCCCAAAAGTCTTAAAATGCCACGAGATGCTACAAACAAGTTTTTAAATAAATTTTTTGGTGTATGTAAAGTTTATAGGTTAATAAAAAAATTATCAAAATACCGTACAGTATACTGTACAGGAATAATTTTATACAGTGGGGTATGTTATAACGAATGGATTCTACTACGAATATTCCTATAATGAACGATTTTACCTATAAAATTGAGAATGCTATAACGAACGAAACTCCTACAACGAATTTTTTTTTTTTTTTTTTTATTAATTTATTGTTTTCTATTACAAGTATTAATGATATTCTTTATTTCAGGGGTTTAGATACATATTTATGCACTTTTTTACAATTTTTACAATTTTATATTATATTTTTCAGTGTTAAGTGGTTGTATTTGGGGGCCTGGAACGGATTAATCCTATAACGAACGAATGCTATAATGAACAAGGTTCTAGAACCAATTAGATTCGTTATAGCATACCCCACTGTATACTGTATATAATTTTGAAGTTTTGAGAAACCAGATGAGAGTGGGACAAAGTAAACTGCACGAGATGCTAAGCCAACGTATATTACAATTATATTACAGGTACTGCAATAATACATTGCCAACACTGGATGAATTATTACATCATCCTTAATTCCCGTTGATTTGTTTACCTGGCACAAATGCCACCTGACATCTCCCCCCCCGTGCATTGCCAGTACAGTATTCTCCACACCTCCAAACATTTATTCACTTTCTCTTACAACTTTACATTTCTGTTTCACAAAATTAGTGTGTGAAATTTAAGAATGCAGAATTCTCTATTTTTATAATACAGCTGTATTTAATTTTCCAAATATTATATGATAGTAAATGAGTAGAAATTGGACTATGAGATACCGTATTTGCCGGCATATAACACGTATCACCGCATAAGACGCACCCCTATTTTGCAAGGATATTTTGTGGATTTTTTTTTTTTTAAGTACTTGTATGTTTCATCATACAATTATGGAAAGTGATTTTAAAGTGGTTTTGTATGGGAAAACATATAATTTTGTGCATGTAAATATAATATATACTGGAATCAAGTAGGAAATCATATACGTACTGTATACAGTATATTTAGTAACAAAATTTTTGTGCTTAGTGGACTACTGCTCGTCCCAGACTCCCTAGCTAGGCACCTCAGCCTGCGGTGCTCGGCCTCCCATCCGTAATACGGGTGCATTAGACGCATGGTAATTTTATATAATGTATATATACAGTCATGCGCCGGTTAACGTCCAACCGAACAACGTCTGATCGCAAATACGTCCATTTTAAAAAAAAACAACACTTCCGTGACGCCTGCTGGACCACCACTCCACGACCTTCTGACGGAGACACGATGATCTTCCCCATACTGGCCAGATATTATGTGTTAAAGGAATATCCTTCCTTTCTTAGGCATTTGTCTCTAGGTGTATTGTTAACCTACATCTATTGAAGATAAAATCTTTCACTTACAAATTGACAATAACACATTTGCTGTAATCAGACATATCTAGTTGCCTCAACAGTTGCAACCCCAGTTGCAGTGGGGTTGCAATATCAAATTCTGTGTCATTACTAAGGAATAATGAAGTCTCTGGTGCACTGCACTCTAAGATTAAGAGAAAACGTTGGAGTCAGGCATCCTGAAGTGAGAGAAAACGGACTCCTATGACGGGGCACTCAAATAAAGAGACATGGCTTCATGTTTTGTGGACTACCCACTGTACAGTATTGAGTGTATCCTTTTCATCACTTTGTAATAAACCTAGCCATGCCTATGTGTGTTTCTGATATTTACCATAACATTATATCTCTAGTGGTCTGAATGAAAGCGGTTGTACAAACACAGGACTCACACATGTCACTCAGACTGACAGACTTGACAAGTTTTACCAACCATAAAGACAGTTGAAGCTTTAAACAATGGATCTTGAATATTCCAACTGTAATCAGACATATCTAAGTTGCCTCAACAATTGCAACCCCAGTTGCAATTTCCAAATTCTGTGTCATTACTAAGGAATAATGAAGTCTCTGGTGCACTGCACTCTAAGATTAAGAGAAAACGTTGGAGTCAGGCATCCTGAAGTGAGAGAAAACGGACTCCTATGACGGGGCACTCAAATAAAGAGACATGGCTTCATGTTTTGTGGACTACCCACTGTACAGTATTGAGTGTATCCTTTTCATCACTTTGTAATAAACCTAGCCATGCCTATGTGTGTTTATGATATTTACCATAACATTATATATATATTTAGTGGGTCTAAATGGTCGTAAAATGGGAAACTTGGGGTTGGGTGCCTAGAACCAATTAGAATAAATCCCATAGGTTTCTGTACTTTCGGACAACGTCCATTTCGGTTAACATCACGTTTCCAAGAACGTATCTAGGACGTTAACCGGCGCATGACTGTTTATATTTTTTTTACCGCGTTTTATATGCCGGCAAATATGGTAACTGGCTCAGTGACTGTGTGTGTGTGGTGATGTGACTGAAAAGTCAGTTGTCTTCTCGTGACTTTCAAGAGTTATGGTGATTGTAGGAGAATGATGTAACATTGAAAACTTATTAGTAGACTTACCTAGTAATAGCACTGCTAGTGTTAGAGAACTGTTATTATTACTAATTAAATTTTTATTTTTCATAACTTTGGAGTTTTTTCTCATAAAGCAGAGTGTGGGAAAAGTTTTGTTTTCATAACTGGAAATTTTACAATATCAAATCATCATAAGTCAGGGTCTTCCCGCACTGTATTCAAAAGGAATTTATATTTTAAATGAATATTGTGTAGCTTTTATTCAGATATTTATTAATAATGTATACAGTATTCATCTACTTTCTTCAGTTATCTTTCCCCAAAATTACCTATTCTTTGAATACATTACTAAATGGGACTGGTAAATAATTTTGAAGGATTATTATTGGAATATTCATACTGTATTTGTATTCAAGTCCATCCCTCCAAACTCCCTCCTTTCCTTCCCTCACTCCATTTTAATGTATAAACAAATGATTTATTATCCAAGGGATATTTTTACTGTACAGTATAGTCTCAGTTTACGCGGTCAATTAAACCCGCGGAGGTCCGCGTAAAACGAGAAACGCGTAAACGAAATAACAGAACATATGGGATTAATTGAAATAGAGACTGGGCCGAACCCTAGACTACCCTTTTTCTGACACAATACATACGTTGAAGTAAAAATAACATCTTAATTTTATGATGGTATGCACACACAATTAATATTTAAGAGAAATATCAATAATATTAGGTTTTTTAACACTTATGTTAGTAGAAGAGATGGCTGGGCACACGGGGATGGGGGGTTGGTTCCGAGGCAGAGGGCAGATTATTGCCCCTCACTTGTATCACTTGTATCACTATCCACCACAGAGGCTTGCAGGGGCTCTTTGTCAAACCCCTCAAAGTCCATATCCTCACTATCACTGACTTGGGCTGGCTGTGGTGGGTAAAGAACTCGGTAATGTTTTGTTGACTGGGCGACCTAATGCGCACCCTGCCCGCGCCGCTTCCCACGTAAATGATGGAATGTACCGCGTAACTAATAATTGCCGGTCTGGCCAGGTGCCGCGTAAATGACCAACCTTGTAAAAGAAATCCACGTAAATCGAGACTATACTGTACTGTAATACTATAAGTTTATTTACATTAGACTTTTAGTTTTTTGGTTGTTTACAATAGTAACATAATACTTCTGATACATAGGTGAGCAGCAATGTTTTGTCTGAGAGGGCTCGGAGATTTGGAGTTACAGATGCACCAAAGTCTGCTCCCACGCCTGAGGCTATTGCAAAGCTGTATAAAAGGTAGAGTATTTACAAATTTTCTCAATAAAAAATTCTGGCTAGAGTTCCAGGTCAACTATCTTTATAGATTGTTCTACTAGTGTTTCTTTCATAGGGAAATTTTAATCAGAAGTATTTGTAGAATTTAAATATGGTACAGTACTGTACAATAATTTTCCACTACAGTAGTATTCAGAAAAATTGGAGTAAAGATAAATGACAATACAAATATACAGCAGCTGATTAATAATTCAATATTAAGAATAACTGTAATGCATTTTTGCTTGAAAGAGCAGCATTCTGGAGTTCATTGCATTGTATTTCTTTCACACAAGTAAAACAGCTAGATGTCTGTAAGACCACTGAAGACTTAATTTTGGAAATTTTACTTTACAGTCTGGATGTGACGGATGAAGACTTCACTCGAGGTCGTTATCGTCTAGATGCCCTCTATATGCGAGGCACGGAAGAACTTAGTACCAAAGATATCTTTGAATACTTCCAGGCCTATGCTCCTTCCAACATTGAGTGGATTAGTGATAACAGCTGTAAGTTTGTGTCAGCCTTCAAAATGTATTACAATACAACCTCAGGAAGCTGGAACTCATAACTCTGACCTCTTCAGTTATCTGGAAAATTAACTCAGACCCTAAGCTATTTCACACTTGTGGAGAATCCTCAAAAATTCAGAGGTGGGAATACACTAGTGTACAGACTTACCACCTGCACGTTATTGGTCATGTAGAGGCTGTTAGTGAACAGATGTCTGCCAATTGTGAGGCTGTTGAAAAGTACACAACTGAATTTGTTAAGTTAGTGAAGGATGAAAGACTTGGGTCCTGGGCAGATTTATAAGGTAGACAGGTAGTCTTTGATTACCTCAGGGAGGTGTGACCCTGCCTTGCCAGCTCTTCCCACCCTGTGGGTTGGTTTTGGGAAGGGCATCCAGCTGTAAAACTCTGCTTCTACATGCCTTATGGCAATTGGGTTACCAGAACTGTGTCCATCCCCTGGTCTGCTGTATTTTCTAGAGTGGCACTCTTTGGCAGTACTGTACACCAGGACATGGGTTTGCAGTAATGAGGAGGGGAAGGGGGGGGGGGACACATCTCATTCTGGTTTACCTAACATCTGCCATCAGGTAATTGCGGCTAACCCATGCAAACGTGGAAAATGGCCATAAAGCATTGAAAAAGATGAGACTGGTGTTTTGGGGGGACATTTGCTTTATAACATGTTTGCTGACATGGTGAAAACAGTGACATGGCTTTGAAGGGAAGGAGAGGTTTACTGTTTTAACATTTGCAAATGCTGTTAGCTTCCTTATATGTTAACTACAGGTACTTGTGACAGGATGAGTGCTGAGTCTCATTATCTGAAAAGGCAGGAAAATTATGCTTGTATTTTACGAGGTTATAAATAGGTATGGATCGTCCAAGAATTTTTTTTTTCGCACCTGAGGCTCATGCATATTGTTGTAAGGTGGGGCTACCAGAGAACTGACCTGCTTATTATTGCATTTAGTTGTGTGTAAATGTTTTATTTTTTATCTAAAATCCAGAAAAAGAGAGTTCAGTCCTTGCCATTCTGGATTCTTGAGAATGTACGATCTTGTGAGCTGGCTTTGTGAATTATTGGTAGTAAAAATGAAAAAATTCTGTATTGTTAACTTCTGATTATTTTGCTTTGTAATAAGAGTGTTATATTTTAATTGTGTGGGGAGTCTGTCACTTTTTTTTTCAGGGATTAGCCCACTCGGGCACAGGTCACTGACCAACATCGGGGCCTGGGGGGCAAAAATGTAATAATAATAATAATACAGTGGTCCCTTGGTTAACGAACACAGTTCGTTCCACAGAGTCCCTCGTTAACCGAATCTATTGTTTCAATGGGATATTGGGTAATTGGTTCCAGCTCACAGAAAAGTACATACAAAGTAAAAAAAAATGCAATAAAGTACACTTACTTTGAGGTGTATATGTATGTAAAAGGTTGCTGGTTGATGATGATGATGGGAATTAGAAGTGGGGGTGGAGGAGAAATCACCTTTCAGGGGACCCATGCTTGATGCAGTAATTTCACCAATAAAATTTTAAGTTTACTTGGTGTAATTCAAGATTATTTTATTTAAATCAACACTTCACTGCACTATATATTATCAATATGTTAAATATTCAAGACACCAACAAAATCGATATTCACTCCATTGTAAACAAAGCCAAACTGGCGCCTGGTGGGTGAGTCAAGCGGCTGATGGGTGCACAAAAAACTAGTTCCCTGTACTGCATATATTATCAATATGTAAACTAAGTTTTAAAATGACGAATAATTTTAATATGAAAAATGTAAAAATATTAAAAAGCACAACTTTCTTGATATTTACTCCATCTGGAAACGAATGTAAACAGAACAGATTACTGAATTGGCAGACTAGCCCATCAGCTGATGCTCACAACAAAACGTGTTTGTCGTAAGGTTTTCGTTAATCGAAGTTTTGTCCGTTAACCGAATTGAAGATCCTTGTGGGAGGTAATTCATTAACTGAAATTTCGTTAATTGAACTGTTCGTTAACCGAGGGACCACTGTATTAATAATAATAATAATAACTCATAGTTAAATAAAATTATACCTGTAATGTAAAATACAAAATTGAAAATAAAATACAAATTATAATAATATTAACAAAGAACCATAAAGAAATACAAAAATGAAAAAAATACAAAGTGAGAAACATTATATGTATGTTGTGTTGTCAATAGTAAGAGAAACAATTGAGACCATGCAATTGTGTGTAAATGAAGCAGAAAGTCAAATCAGCAACCTGGGACTTGGTCACAATTTTCATGTTGCCATATAGCAGCAGGGTCTAACATTAGACAACACATTATGCTTCCAATATCTTCCCGGGCTGTAGTACCTCCCTGTTTGGTACACTACTCTAAATAGTTGATGCAAAATGCTACATTTTAGTTGTAGGTAAGAAACAGAATCCAGCTGCTCACAGTACCGTGGCAACATTCCATATCCAGACATTTTTATAATAAATACAAAATATGAAATTAACATTTTGAGTTCTGTATGAAGTTGAAAGAACCCAATAAAATATTTATTTTGTAGATATTAAAATAAGGGTACTGTTTGCCACTTTCATAATTTCTTGATGGTATTAATTTAATTTTTTCTGCCATTGCTTAAGAGTTTGATGAAAGAAAACATTTCAAATGCTGTCTCTTTCTGACAATTTATGTCAATCATCCAGTTGGTATTTATAATCATTAGTCATATTTATGAAGTATTTTCAGGCTGTATGGATGAGTCTACTTGAGAAGAGCTCCCAAGTCAAAACACTATATAAATTTAATATTGTTTAGGATTTACTGAAGTACAGGTCACTGAATAATGACTACAATTTCAGATACTGTATATTTAACCTTACTCATTGGACTTTCTTACTTTATCAGAAATTAATATTAAACTCATGAATTAGAGATGTTTCTTTTCTTTCAGGTAATGTGGTTTGGCTAGATGCTGCTGGTCCAGTTCGTGCACTGATAGGCCTGTCCTGTCCCATTCTACCCCGAGAAGCAGATCTAAAAAAAAATAGACATACTTTAAGAAGCAAAAATGGCCGAAAGGTTGGAGAACAGTGTACAGTGTATTGTATTATATTAATTTAATTTTTTAGGTGCCAGGATTGCAATCTTGTGTGCTGCAGTAAAGTGAAAATGAGTATAACGTAATAAAAAAAATTGTGCAGTAAAGGAAGCTGAATAAAAATAAATCAGTTCATAAGTTGGATGATAGTTTTGTAGGCTGTTTTAGGAAGTGAAGATAGGAAGAGGAGGAATGGTGATAACCCATCGTAATTTTGTATGTAGTAAAAGTTTAGAATTATAGGTACAGTACCTGTATTAGGCTGAAATTGACTCATTTGTATGAAGGTATACATGGTAGGTTTTTTTTCTCTCTTTTGTTGGAAAGCAAGTGGAGCATCTTGTTTACACTTATCCATCTATCCATATGTTTGTTGGTCTGTTTGATCTTGCATCCATTTCTTGTGTCCCAAGGTCTTGTGCATAAAAGTATTTTGATACTGTATTGATTTTTGTTTTACATACACAGCTGACAGTACTGTACAGTACATACAAAATTGTACACCTGGTTAAAAGTTGGAGGTTATGGGTCAAAAAGGTCAAAAGTAAAAAAATAATAAAATCTCTAATACTAATCCAGCATCTTTTAACCTCTTCAAAGTGACACCCTTTAGTTTGGAAAAGATATCACCCATTATTATAATCGATATTATCTTGGTTTTGAGGCATGATTGTTAACCAACAACCACTGTATGTCATAATGAGTTAGTACTCCTATTGTTGATGTGAACATGTGCTTATGTTATGTTGAGCAAATGCTATTTAGTGTAATACTGAATACAGTATGTAGTGTGTTAAAGTACTAATGTTACAGTGAACATAGTGAGCCGGTGTTGAAGTAAATGTGTGCTAGTGAGCATGTCTTACTGCTATGTTAAACATTAATTACTAGTTTTTCTCCTAGTTGTTTCAAGCCCTTTCCTGTCACTCTCTAGATTTCTCTTGCATGATGATCCTTAACTACTTCGCTGTGTTTTGATTTTCAGCACTGTAGCTCGACTCACCCAACGCAAAAGAGGGAGAGAACTAAAGTTAATAGATAGATGGAAATATTTGTAGAAAATATGAATTTAGATGTTATTTTTACTGCAACATAGGTATTGTGTCGGAAAAAGTGGAATTTGGGGGTCGGGCCAGTCTCTATTAGAATTAATCCCATATGTTCTGTTGTTTTGTATGTTAATTTTTACCCTTTTTATTTCTTATTTTAGATTATAATCTTGTGATTTTTCTATTTTCTAGACAAAAGATACAAGTGGTAATAAGAAGGATGATGGAGGAACACCTAAGATTAAAATAAAAAAAGAAAAGAAAGACTCATCACAAAGGAAGAAAAACAGCAATAAAGATGGACACAGTAGTAGCAGTTCAAGTAGCAGTAGCAGCAGTAGTGGGAGTGAGGATGAGAGCTCATCATCTGACTCATCAAGTGGCAGTAGTAGTGACAATAGCAGTGAAAGTAGCAGCAATAGTAGTAGTAGTAGTGATAGTAATGCATCTGACATTGAGACTGAAGATGGTAAAGAAAAGACAAAAAAGAAGAAAAAAGTGAAAGTAAAAGTTGAAAAGATGGATGAAGATCCAGTGGCATCAGTCCCAATAGTGGAGGAAGAGGTAAAGTTCTTTGAAACAACAATGTAAATTTCATGATTTATACAATGCCATTCACATTATATATAAAGAGTTAGAATTTTATTAACATGAATACTGTCCACTGCATTTTTAATGGAGTGAGAACATGTAAGGTGCTATTTGAAACATGAACATGTAGAAATTATTGAGGTAAGTTTTTATCTATCTGAAGTACAACAAAAATTTAGAAATTAAATTTATTTGTATGGTGATGATAACTCTATTAATAGTGTGACTAATGCTATCGCCGTACATTAATATATAGTACAGTAATGCTAATTGAGGTTACATTTTGGGGGGATTTTGAAGTACTTGTACATAAGACTTCCATAGGTTGGACTATATGGGGCTCGAGGCTATCCGACTAATGTCTAACCTACCCCAGGTGCTTTCAACCATTTTTTTGCTGTTAAATCCCTTTCCAAAACATTATTAAAGTTAACAATATACTTTTACACTGCACTTAAGTTTTATTATAGCAAATGAATCATGAGGTGGAGGACAATGAGGGGCTGCATACACTTACAATGCCTGTATTCACACTTATATTGTGTTACACTTTACATTTAGTTACACTAAAACACTTGTATTTAGTTACACTTATATCTAGTATGCACTTTAATCTGTTTTATGTCAAAAAAGTACCGGTACTCCACTTCAACACAAGCTCCTCACAGATAACATTCATGGAGACCCCAGCATCAATTCTGTCTCATATCTTCAGTTTCTCTTCAATCGGTAGAGTTCTGAGCGCCATGCCATTTCTTCCAGTGATCCTCAGTGGTGTTGTTTTGCCTTTACTGCTTTAGAAGACATACTACACCAGGGAAGCACAAAAAAAAAATAAAAAAAAAACTACTGTGCAAGCAATGGTCACAACAACAAACATGTGGGACCTGACTCTTGTCCCAGCTGCTACCTCACAGAACCTCCCTAAGTCAGAGCTTGTCTGACATATGAGGTTCTTACTGTATGTACAGGATTGCAGTTCAGAGAATTTACTGTACTGTATATAGAAATTAATTGTCACTGGAAAAGAGAAAATAGCAATACACTGTACGTATCCTAATTTTCCTCTTAACCCTTTCACAGCGGGAGGTTACCCTAAGCTGAATATAATCGTCTGGCAGTAGCCAGAATAAAATGGCAGGTGTGTGACACGCGGTGAAAGGGTTAAGAACTATGTAGGTATTATTTTATGATGGTCCAACTAGTAATATCCATTGCCAATTGGTCATTTTAATGTTAAAAAATTACATGTATAGAAAATTCATACTGTAGTTAATTCATTTTGAAGATTTAAGTTGGAAAATTATATTAAGATACAAAAATTGGTTTGTTTCTAGGGAAGTGTTCGTGCTGAAGATGTAGCCATCCCAGTACCCCCAGGACGATGGAGATTGGGAGTTCCGTGTTCTCGTACTAAAGCAATACTTTTACGTTTCTCCGGTCGTAAGGATAGAAAACCAGATGGTGCGGAAAGAAAATCACAATATTATCGCAAGTATGGGAATCCTAACTTTGGAGGTATGTATTTAAGAAACATTGTATAAGCATTCTCTCTTGTGTTTACTACATTATCATTAACTAAGTTTAGTTCATAGTACAGTGGGGTATGCTATAACGAATCTAATTGGTTCTAGAACCTCGTTCGTTATAGGATTAATCCGTTCCAGGCCCCCAAATACAACCACTTAACACTGAAAAATTTTTGTGGAAATTGTAAAAAATACAGTACTTTATCTTACCTTAGTGTTGTTCAGCATGCAGGACAGGAGGCAGAGGGGGAGGGGGGGGGGAGAGAATTATGGAGAAGAGGTGGAAGGAGAGGAGTCATCCTTCCTAGCCCTCTTTGGTGACTGTCTTACAGGCACTTTGTCTGTTTATTTATAATTTCTTTCATAGTTTCAAGGGTTATTAGCTTTCTCACTCGCTTTTGACGATTCAGTGTTGCAATTGTACACTTGTATAACAAAATAGTTATAAAAATGACACGAATTTCCACATCAAAAGACGAAATTTCAACAAGTTCAGTGGTGCACTGACTACACAATGAACCAATATGGCGCCTGACGCTCTTGCTGGGAGCCGCGGTACAACAATATTCATGCGCCAGACGAAATAGTCCCGTATTCATCCGCGTTCGTTGTAGGAGTTGCGTTCGTTATAGCATTCTCAATTTTATAGGTAAAACCGTTCATTATAGGAATATTCGTAGTAGGATCCGTTCGTTATAGCATACCCCTCTGTATATTAATTTGGGAGAATTTTACTTCTTAATTTTTTTACAATGAAAAGTATTCAGTTAAAAATCAAGAGCCAATAGTTGTAAAGTGCTGATACTTCCTTACCAATAAGGTTAAAAACCACATAAATCATAAGAAATTTGCATGTGTGCATTCAATGGCCTTTGTCTTGAGCCTGGAGGCTACTGTATTTATGGGTTTATGTCTGTGCTTCTTGAGTTAATATCATGTCCGGGAATGAAAGAAAGGATTCTGCTTTTCTCTTACATTCACACATACTCTCAGTGTTTCATAATCCCTTTCACACATGCTTTGATTTGTTCATTTTTAGTTGCTCTTGGTACAGTATTAAGAATTGCTGACAGGATCAAAGGATATACTGTACATGACTTGGAGTGAAATAAAATTTTATTGATGATATTATTTTTATGGCAGGTATTAAAGGATTCCTCAGTGAAAGTGGAAGAAAACGAATGCGAGAGGCACAGAGAAGGAGAGAAGTTGAAGAAGGTCAGAGATGGGGTAGAGATGATAAAAATATTGAGGAAGGACCCAAGAATCCTTGGGGAGCACTTGCTTCAAACTGGGGGCATAAAGAAAGTCAAGAAGATGACAGATTTGACTATCAAGCGCTCCTCCGACAACACCAGAAAAGAGGTACAGTATATGATTAACAAAGCCATAATAGATGGCCTTACAGGTGCTTTAGTGGTGAGGAATAGTAACAGATAATCCAAGCAAGAGTTAAGACAGGTTGCAAATTTATCATTAGTTGCTGGCTGCTAATGCTTGAATTTTTTTTTACCTAAAACAAAATGGGCCGTCAAAATATAGTTCTGTTACACTTGATGATATCCTAAATGTTACATAAGATTTTGTCACTATATGAGAACTAATGAAATAGAGTTTACTTGTATGGCTTGATACCAAATAAGAAAAACTAAAGTGAGGTACAGTATTATAAAAAAAAATAAATAAATTATACAAGGAAACCTAAAAAAAAAATTTCACCTTAATTTTATGTAAAGGTGAAATCACTTCTTACTGCAGGTGTTTTGTTTAAAAATAAAGATTCATATAAATAATTATTCGTGAAATTTTCAGCGCCTGGTATGAAGAGAAAGAGAGCTGGAAGTGATTATGAGGATGAAGATATGATGGACGATGAAGAGGACTTTGATGATTTTGGGGATGGAAGTAATGATGACCACTATAGTAAAAATCAGGGAAGTGATGACAGTGATGATATTGTGCCATGGAAGAGCAAAATTAAGGTTTGTAGTTTATATATGTATAAATGTTTGTTTCACTTTAGTAATACCTGTACAGTACATTTATTGGCAGCAAAAACATTAATATTCTTGGAGCTCTTTATAATATGTAAGATAGTATACAGTACTGTATATTATAACATATATTTTGTATCTTTAAGTCAGGGTTTATAGTAATGGAGTTCTGTTAATGATACATTTGAAGCAAGACTCAAGTTAAATTTTTTTTTATCAGATTCCAAGAATGAAGATGTATGCAGATGCTGAACAGAAGAAAAAGAAACGAAAGAAATCTGACGACCTGTGGCATCGTCTATCTGGTGGAGGATTCCGAACTACTGGTGGGGTTCAGGACAGATTATCAGATATGCGTACCCCAAAGGGCCGCAGTATCAAGAGTAGGCTAGATCTACGTACAAAGCTGTCAAGCAAAAGAAAAATAGGCCCCATGTCAGTTGAGGTAGACAATGCTCATTATTATAGTCTAATTGCCAGTGATGATGACTAGAGTCTCATTTTTTATTAGATCAAAAAGTTTCAGAAAGTTTAAGGAATATGTTTCATAGTATATTTGGTGTAAATATGCTTTACTAAGCAGTCCCATATTGTACTGCTTCCATTTTCTTTCTTTCTTTCTTTCTTTCTTTCTTTCTTTCTTTCTTTCTTTCTTTGCCCTACCAGATATTACAAAAAAAAAAGGATCCTTCTGATTTCATTAATGTTTATATGTTTTTAAGAAGCCTTTCATGGTGAGGACCATACTGTAAACTTGACCTGTTCACCATGACATATATTGCTCTTCATGCCTTCTCATAGGGTTCATAATTATAAAGAAAATTTGGAGTTGCATGGAGAATTTTCAAAGATAAATGTGGTTATAAAAATATGCTTGGTAATTGAGCAATAAAAACAAGAGAATATTGTGCCAAATAATATAAAGAACTAAAAATGGCTGGATCAGATGAATGTTTTTTAACCTCCTGATGTAAGAGAAAAATTAAGTTTATCATCAGCAATTAAATATCATCAGCTTATGATTATTAATCCAATTGTAACAATGTTGAAATGTTAAACCTGGGGCATGTACCCAATGAATAGTTTGGATTTTAAACTGGGATTAAGAGCATCAGGAATGACTGGCAGGCATCTTTATTACTGTATGTATTTACATAGCTAACTTAAGTTATAATTACTTTGTAGGTTTATTTATATGACAGTTGGTATTACTATTTCACAAAGTGAAGTGACTGGTAGGTAATCCTTTAATGTATTATTAAATACAGTAGCTAACGTAGGGTAATAACCTAATAAATATATTTATGTGATACTTGGTATAAATTCACAAAGTGAAATCACCATTTTTAATGTGCATTTTTGTATATATTACATACAAATTATGCTGTATAGAATGGATGGGTTATCCCAAAGTTCTTTTGTTAAAGTGACATTCTTGTTGTAATGTGTGTAAACCACATCACAGGTCTCAAAGTGACTGAGGAGGATGGGACAGATGAAGTGAGAAATAGATGTAAGGGAAACAACTGTTATATTCTGTAGCAGATGAAGTTGACCAGAATCTGGTTTCATTGTTAATTCTTTCAGACTACTTTTTAAGAGATATTTTAATGAGACATGCAGGTAAGCTTATATTCTTTAGTCATTGCACTATGGTTAATTAATAAACCAACTGTTGTACACGTTCTTATTTCTTATAGACCCATCAGAAAATATTGTATACAGTAGATTTAATCTTACGCCACAAAAATAATATATGTTTATTCAATTTATTTTTTTTGTGCACCTAATAGCTATAAAAAATGGGCACTGTTGTTTGTATATTAAGTACTTAATACAGTGTATGTATTAGATTTCAAGTTTTTTTTTTGTTTTTTTTTTTCTTTTTTTTTTAAAGCTATTTCCTCCCATAATGAAGAATAGCCAGAGTCAAGAGCAAACATGGATTCATTTGCTCATTTGCTGTCAATTATTCGCTCTTGTAGTAACAGCTGCAATTTTGTTTTACAACAAGGCCCAATGCTGTCTGGTTTATCACTGTTTCATTCTTTTAATAAAATAATACTCCCTTTTGCTGGGCATCACTTACAGAATATTCACAAAACACTGCTAGTCTCTTTAAAAATTCTACTCTCTCAACCTTCAGTATTATTTTTATTCTTCTCCAGCTTTTGTGTGGTTGATAAAGGAGTAACAAACACCTCAAAGAAGGGGAAGGAATGATAGGTGTCTTGTACCACACTGAGGTTTGTGTACCCCTTGATGCACACTAGTGGTGTCTAGTGAGCATTCTGCATGTTGTCTCCAGCAAAAGGTGTTAATTTTTAATGATATTGGAACATTTCATAGAAGTTTTACAAATTGATTGCTAGCTCTGAAAGTCTTAAAAAAGTTATCTCCAACAGGTGGAACAGTATTGTATCAATGCTTGAAATACTATACAGTATTGAAATGCAAGATATAATTATCTGTGGTACAAACTTCATAACAGTATACAGTGGTTCCTCGATTAACGAACGGTTCAATTAATGAAATTTCTGTTAACGAATTAGCTCCCATGAGGATTTTCAGTTCCATTAACGAACAAAACTCCGATTAACGACAGCCTTATGAGAAACCTGCTTTGTTGTGCGCATCAGCTGATAGGCTAGTCCGCCAATACAGTAATTGGTTCTGTGTTTACATTCGTTTCCAGTGGAGTAAATATCAAGAAAGTTGTGTTCTTGAATATTTTTGCATTTTTTATATTAAAATTATTGGTCATTCTGAAACACGAAGAAGGCATTAGAATCAATGCACTCTATAAAGAATATGGCATGTCATCATATTTTGCCTCTACAATCAGCCATTTGATATGTAAACAAAGCTGCCGGGAATACGACATACACACCTCAAAGTAAGTTAAAATATAGTATTCTATTGTTTTTTATTTATTATTGTACAGTACTGTATTTAATTTATATTTAATGTTTTGTTAATTATATTACCGGTACACAGTACTTTGTATGTATAGTACTTTTTCTGTGAGTTGGAACCAATTACCCAAAGGTTAGATTAGGTGACAACACAACAAACATATATTGTTTCTCACTCTTGATCTTTTTTTAATTTTGTATTTCTTTATGGTTCATTATTAATACAGCTGTATTATTATTATTATTGCTGTTATTATTATTACATTTTCGCCCCCCCAGGCCCCGATGTGGATCAGTGATCTGTGCCCGGGTGGGCTAATCCCTGTATATAAAAAAAAAAAATCCCATTGAAATAATAGATTCAGTTAACGAATTTTTTGGTTAACAACCAACTCTGTGGAACCAATTGTGTTCGTTAATAGAGGGACCACTGTAATGTGCAATACAGTGGCATTTTATATTGAAGTTATAAATGCGTGTTAATGGAATACCGTATAACATCCCTTGTCTCTAGTTATGTTATTAAGTAGCTATAGTTGCTACTCATCATAAATAATGACAGTATATTGAATATAATGCTGAATTTTCATTGCTTAGGTACAAATACACCTAATTTCACAACTCAATGACTCATTGTAGATAGATATTTCAGTGGAAAACACAAAATTTCATAGATGACAACATTCAGTTATGATACGGTAATTGTTGAAATATGGGACATAATTATATGGTTTTAGCTTTCTTCCTTATAATTATTAAGAATATTAATAACTCATTGGTGGTGATAGAATCACCTTTAAGACTAACAGGAGTTCCCTATATTATGTTATATGAACAGTGACAGAAGAGGCTCAGATGAATCCTTAAAGTGACTCGGACACTGATGATACAGATAACAGTCATTTGCAGAACAAAGAATTGATTGCTGGATGAGAGTGGAAGTCATTTAATAAGGTGACATCTTACTGTAGTTACCATTAAAGTGCAATAACTGTATATACAGTATATTTTTCTGGTGTAGCTGAAATGGCTTTGATGAATGTTTAGCATGCAAGGTGTTAATCTACTCTAAGTATAAGAGTAGAAATAATATTAAGAGGAAATGACAGTTGGATAAAGTATAACAGGTACTATGAAGTAATAAGAGCACAACAATGTATGAGAAATACAGTAATACAGGTACAGTACTTAAAAGTTGCAAGAGTGCAAGGAAAACTACAAATACAAAAGTTCCATTAAGTTTAGTAATGGAGCTTGTTTACAATAAAATTTTAGGGAATTTCAAACATCCTGTGTGTGATATTGGGTTTGATACTGATATCTCTAAATTTTAAAACAATATAAGGATGTGCAATTATTAATTTGTGTAATGTGTAAAGTGAGAAAAAATAGATAAATAATTTTATTGACAATGAATTAGCCATTTCCTACAACTGGATCATATATAGTGCCTGTGTATAATTATAACTCACCTTAGTAGGTGCCTTAAAGAAATGGCTCAAATCTAGTACAGTAGTTGGGAAGGCTCGACAGACCATATAGATTGTTTCCAAATTTGTTTACAGTATTTTAGTTGTACTTAAGCAGTCTTAGATTTTGCATGGGATAGTGATTCAGCCACACAGAGTATTAGGTTTTATATCTAAAAGTGTAAGTAATAAGAGTGCAGAGGTCTTATTGCAACTACAGTATTACCCCGCCTAACGCGGTTTCACTTAACACGTTTTTTCATATACGCGGTGCCTCGCCAGAGCTGAACTTTCACTTAACACGGATTTTTTCCACATATACGCGGTGAGTGTCCGGCTCGAGACGCTATTTTTAGATTTGCCCCACCCGCCAACCTGCCTGACTGCCTGTTTTAGCTCATAAAATTCATACAAATTACCCGGCCAGAATATAATTTACATTGCTGGAATTCTTATAATTTGGTGATCATTTTGAATATAAACATCATATATTTTGCATTAGACATACAAATTTTAGATAAAATGTTTTCTCTAGTAAATATGTTATCTTTTGTGCAAAATATATGACATTTATATTCAAAATATTCCTGGTCTTACAAGGAATCCAGCAATGTCAATTATATTATCCTAACTTTAGTTTGAGGTATTATTTATTACTAAAAAGTTAAATATTCTGGTTTCCCCACACATCTCCTTGGGACGGTTGGTGGGGGGTGGGGGGGAGGGAGGGACCGACCGACCATCTGTTACCCCGTGAAGAATATTTTTTTTTTTTATTAACTGAAGATATTTGTTTTAGCTCATAAAATTCATACAAATTACCCGGTCAGAATATAATTTACATTGCTGGAATTCTTATAATTTGATGATCATTTTGAATATAAACATCATATATTTTGCATTAGACATACAAATTTTAGATAAAATGTTTTCTCTAGTAAATATGTTATCTTTTGTGCAAAATATATGACATTTATATTCAAAATATTCCTGGTCTTACAAGGAATCCAGCAATGTCAATTATATTATCCTAACTTTAATCTGAGGTATTATTTAATACAAAATGTTAAAATTTATTTTTTTCACCCACTCTTCTCTTGAAGGGAGGATTGGTGGGGGGTGGGGGGGAGGGTTGGGACTGACCGCGCGGTTGGAAGAGGGGGGAGGCAAAATATATGACATATATATTCAAAATATTCCTGGTCTTACAAGGAATCCAGCAATGTCAATTGTATTATCCTAACTTTAGTTTGAGGTATTATTTATTAAAATTTAGTGGTTTTCCCCAAAAAATTTCTCAGAGAGGGAAGAGCCAGCAGTGTAGTGTGAGAAGAGGGGGAGGGAGTTGAGTCCATTATTTGAATGGACATTAACTTGGCGACTGTATTTCTCTATTTCTCTTAAGTATTAATTGTGTGCATGTACCATCATAAAATTAAGATGTTATTTTTACTACAACATAGTTATGCGTCTTCAAAAAGTGGAGTTTGGGGGTCGGGCTGGTTTCTATTGGAATTAATCCCATATGTTCTGTTGTTCACTTAACGCGGATTTCACTTAACGCGGAACCCTCTGGGTTCTATTGACCGCGTTAAGTGGGGTACAACTGTATATCTTGCGCTAGTCAGGCCGCACCTCGACTATGCTGGTCAGTTCTGGTGCCCTTATTATAGAATGGATATCAATTCACTAGAGTCGGTGCAGCGAAGAATGACGAAAATGATTCCAGGACTTAGAAACCTTCCATATCAAGATAGGTTAAAGAAACTAAACTTGCATTCCCTAGAAAGATGAAGAGTGCGGGGGGATATGATAGAGTTAATTAAGTGGGTGAAAGGAATCAATAAAGGCGATATAGATAAAGTCCTTATAATATCCGAGCAGAATAGGACTCGTAGCAACAGATTTACTTTGGATAAGTTTAGGTTTAGGAGGGAGATAGAAAGGAACTGGTTCACAAATAGGGTGGTGGACGAGTGGAACAGGCTTAGCAATATTGTAGTAAGTGCTGGAATGCTGGAAAGTTTCAAAAGGAGGATAGATAGATTCATGGATGATATAGAGTGGTAGTATCTCTCGACAGGAGCTGTCATGCACAGGCCAACCGGCCTATTGTAGACTCCTTATTTTCTTATGTTCTTCTTATTGGAAAGTGGCTTATGTGAGTCCTATCTTCAAGAAGGGCTATCGTCATTCCACGAACAACTATAGACCTGTGAGCCTGACCAGCATAATATGTAAAGTACTGAGAGTATAGTCAGAGATGCCGCGATGGAACAACCTTGTAAAGGATTGCCAACACGGTTTTATGTCAGGGCGCTCCTGCTTAACACAATTGCTCAAGGTATTGGATATTTGGACCCATATTCTGGAATGGGGTGGTAATATCGACAATATATACCTAGATTTTGCCAAGGCTTTCGACAGTGCACCCCACGAAAGGCTGAAAATCAAACTTGAAGGGTACGGAATTCAGAGAAATGTCCTTGCGTGGATCGAAGACTTTCTACATGACCGCAAGCAGTGTGTGGTGATTAATGGCATGAAATCATCATCTCTACCTGTCACAAGCGGGGTACCACAGGGCAGTGTATTTGTTTGTTTCATAAATGACATGCCTGACATTGTACACTCCTCCATACAAATGTTTGCTGATGATGCCAAGTTATTTCGGGAAATCAAGAACCATGCAGACTGTGAAGAGCTGCACAAGGATCTCTGTGAGCTCCAAGAATGGTCGAAGAAATGGCTGGTGAGATTCAATGTCACGGAGTGTAAGTGGATGCACCTGGGGTGTACCAACGGTAAGGAGGCGTGTCATATGTCCCAATGGGATGAAGAAACTGCACTATTTGAGACTGAATGTGAGAATGACCTAGGTGTATATGTTGACAATGAGCTGAAGTTCTCGGGCCATTGCGAGAAGTTAAATCAGGCAATTAAATTATTGGGTCTTATAAAAAGGTCGTTCAGATATCTAGACGGTCCGCCCCTCGTAACGATCTTCAAGAGTGAAGTGCTTCCCCATCTGGAGTACTGTCACCCCGTCTGGTACCCGAGATATGCTAGGGACTGTCAGTTGGTTGAAAATGTTCAAAGGAGGGCCACCAGACTGGTGCCTGCACTTCGGCACCTCAACTACCCTGAGAGATTGGAGCGCCTGAACTTGCCTAGCTTATACTACAGACGGGCAAGGGGCGACCTAATTGACGTGTATAAGCATCTCAAGGGGCACTATTCAGTCGAGTGTCCTTACTTGGAGCTGGCAGACGCTTTCCCCACAAGGGGTCACAGCTCAAGATTGAAGAAGCCGCAAGTCTAGAAAACTGTGAGGGCAAACTTTTTTGGAGTGAGCGTTGTGAACTCTTGGAACAATCTACCAGAAAGTGTTGTGATGGCACCGAGTGTGAGCGCTTTCAAGACCAGACTTGACCAACACTGGAGCAGGTTCAGGTACATTCAGAAGCCGGTGCATGCCCAGTACTTGCTAACAGTGTGTAACAGAGACGTGACCGATCGCCCAAGCGGCTAACGAGCCGATGAGTGGTGAAGAGGATAAAAAAATATATACGATTTATTCAAAGAAAATTAAGGCAGCCACTACAAAAAAAAATCACCTCAGGCTCGTTCACGTCTATTAAGGTTTAGTCAGCCGGTTAAATCAATTCTGCAAACCAATCTTTAAGAATTTCTGTATTTCTCATCATATTTCTTTAGTACTGTAGGAAAGAAAGCAAACTGTACTTCCCGCTCATTGATTGACAGTAGCAGTGCCTAGCAACGCGTCCTTAGCAACACAAGATATTTTTATTTACTCATCTAACAAATGAATATATTACTTGATTGAGATAGCCTGTAAAATATATGTGAAACTAAATATTTCATATATAATTCAGCAACACTTAGTAATAAAAATATGTGGAATTACAGCTGTGTAAAACAAAATAAGAGAAGGAATGGCATATAATATTTGTGGAAAACTTAAAAAATAAATGAAGGTATATTTCCGCTATATTTGAAAAACATTCGAATATTGACAATAGGAATTTATTAACAGCATAAAAAATCCAACTTTATAAACAAAAATAATGCATATACTGCGTTTTACCTTATAATAGAGAAAATAAGAAGGAGGTATATCACGTGGGTACAAATGTTTGTTTACACCGAGCGGCTGACAGAGTGAGGAACTGAGAAGGAAACTCTTGGATATTCTAGAACATTATACAAAATGGCAAGCAGCGAGGAAAAGTTCGATGGGATGCTGTTGGCTATGGCTCAGCAACATCCTGGTGGTGTAGTTGAAGTAAGTATGATTTTAGGTTTTGGACCAATATGTGTTATAATGGGTTTTAAAGAGGTTGAGTTTTTAAAGTTCACCCTCGTTATAGAGTATTTTTGTAGTTAACTCATCATTTTTGTTCGAGTTTATGTAGGAAAAATGAATCAGTCGTGTTATTTTTGTCAGTAGTAATAAAATTTTTACATTGTACTCTTTATAATTGTCATGGTTCCTAAAACTTAGATAAAGAGTATATGAGAGGGAGGCGCCTAAAGTACATGGAAATTTTGTCATGAAACTTTTTAATATCATAAATATCGATGTATTTTGAAAGAATCTTTGATATTCCTGTCTTTAACAGTTAAAGTATTACGCAGAGACTGATTGCTGTAAATATTCGTCCATTGGCTGCCCTCAGATTTGGATGCAAAAATAGTTGGTTAATATACTGTATAGGACTGACCCATGAGCGAATTTTTTTATTACTGTTTATTTTATTACAATATTTTTATCAGTGAATAGAAATATGATAATCATTTATTGTGGAAATTGTTTGTTTCATAGATAATTAGGCGCCTAGGCCGTGCGTTAGTTTGTCTTCTGGGCGGTAATGAGGCCCGGAACTGCACCCGGGGCAGTTTGTTTTTCAGCATGTCGTGTGAAGGTTGTCACCGATCTTACATAGACTTAATTTGTGAATTTAGGGGTAAAGACAGTGAGACCCTTCAATTGTTTAAAGATCACGTCATTGTTCCTTTACATAGAGACTTTATTTTCTTACATTATTTTCATCAGTGAGTTCTGATGTGATAATCATTTATTGTGAAACCCGCCGACACAGTAAATCACTCCGCTCTCCGGGGTGCCTAGCCCCGTTGTAGCCGTATCATCTCACGTCCAGAAAATGCTTCAAATTTCACCATATCATAGTAAGTTCGGTATTATTTTCTTTACACACCGTTCATTCCTACCACTAATCTATTACAGTGGTCCCTCGGTTAACTAGCACAATCCGTTCCAGCATGTTGTTCGTTAACCGAAAAACTCGTTAACTGAAACCATTGTTTCAATGGGTTTTTGGGTAATTGGTTCAAGTTCACCGAAAATTGCCTAAATTCAACAAAAAAGGTAGAAAGGTACACTTACTTTGAGGTGTGTATGTAGAAGGCTCCTGGATGATGATGATGGGAATTAGAATGAGGGTGGAGGAGAAGGGAGAAGAGAAGGAAGTGGAGGTGGAGGAGAAGCATTTTACTGCTTCTTGGAAGGTGAGTCACCTTCCATGAAAATGTCAGGAACCTCTGGACTGACAGATTCTCCACCAGGAACATCCTCACTCCTTCATGAAATGGAAGGCTGAGGGCTAGCATCTTGTTCCCGCTGCCTTTTACTAAAGAAACTGTCAATTTTTGTTTGTGGGGCATCTCTCCTCCTCATCATTAACTGATGTTTGAAGAAGGAGACCACTGTGTCCTCAACATGACACAAAGCTAGTTCAGACTTTTCCACATCTGGGTGCCTTGAAGCCAGTTTCCTGAACTTCTTTCAGTGGTGAACAACATCTTTCAACTCTGAAGTTGACATATGGTCATCACTTTCCGTTTCCTCCTCACCACTGTCAGCCTCTTAACATCTCATCCAGTTGCTGCAAGTCTTCAGGAGTAAGTTCCTGTTCATGAGACATCACAAGCTCTTCTACATCATCATCCTCCATTTCAAGGCCAAATGACTGACCAATGGACACAATCTCCTGGTGCAACTCTGTTTCATCCTGAAATCCCTCAAAATCATGGACTACTGATGGCCACAGTGCTTTTCATGAAGAATTGAGGGTTCTAGTGGAAACTTCTTGCCATGAAGACACAATCAATTTTACAGCCTCCAGGATGTTAAACTGTGTCTTATAGAACTGTGCCAGTGTTAGTTCAGGATTAGTGGAAGTTGCCTGATGACACCTGAAAATTTTCATGTACAGCTTCTTAAAGTTGCTGATCACATTCTGGTCCATTGGCTGTATGATTGATGTAGTGTTGGGAGGCAAAAACAACACTTTGACAAAGTCAAATTGAGACTCCAAAGTTCTGGCAAGTTGAGGGTCATGACCAGGGGCATTATCCATGAGGAGAAGAGCCTTTAAAGGGAGTTTATTGGTGGTTAGGTAGCTCTTCACAGAAGGGCAAAACACCTCAACAGCCCATTCATTAAAGAGCTGTCTTGTCACCCATGCCTTACGGTTGGATTTCCAATAAACTCCAAGCCGTCCTCTTACCACTTTTTGTTGCTTGAACACCCTGGGGTTCTCAGAGTGGTAGACAAGCATAGGCTTCAGTCGGAAATCCCCTGAAGCCTTGGCACCAAGCAATAGAGTGAGACGGTCTTTCATGGGTGTATGCCCAGGTAAAGGGACTTCGTCTCTGGTGATGAATGTTCTTTTGGGCATCTTTTTCCTGAACAGCCCAGTTTCGTCCACACTGAACACTTGCTGTGGAAGATAATTTTCTGTATCCACCAGTTCTTTAAATTCCACTAAAAACTTTGCTGCCCCTTCCTTATCAGCACTGGCAGCCTCACCATGCCTAACACTAAATATGTCACTTCTTTTCTTAAATTTTTTTAACCGGCCCTTGCTGGCCCTAAAATCTTCAAAGTCTGTGCCTGAAGAACCAGGTTGATTTACCTTTAAATGTTCATATATTTCCCTGGCTTTTTCACAAATAAATTCAGTAGAAACTGAATCACCTTTCTTCTGTTTTTCCCTAATCCAGATGAGAAGTAACCTCACTGTTTCTGCTATTAGGGATCTACCTTTGAACACTCTGGTAGACTTGTCTCTCACTTTCACTTCCTTGAATTTGTCTTTCTGTGTAAGAATTGTCGATACAGTTGATGTCGACATGCCATATTCTTTGCTTAGCACACTTGTTCTAATGCCTTCTTCATGTTTTCTAATTATTTCCTGTTTCATCTGAATTGAAATCGCTTTTCTAGATTTCTTGGGACCCATGCTGGATTCAAAAAAAATTTCAACACGTGATATTTTAAGTTCAATTGCTGCTAATAAAGAATATTTTCTTTAAATTAACACTGCACTGCTCTATATATCATCAATATGTAAAATATATTTCAAAATGATCAATAATTTGACTGAAAACACAGAAAAAAACCATTTATGTTGAAGTGAGTCTGAAGCAAGATGTTACCTTTACTGAAAAGACACAGAGACTGACGCCTGTTTGGTGTGTTGACATGCTGTTTGGCGCGCATAAAACTAGTTTCCTGTACTTCAATTATGTTCAATAATTGTTAAAATGACAACAAAATTTAATATAAAACTTTTAAAATGATTGAATAGTACAACTTTCTTAATATTTACTAAAATGGTAAGGAATTTAAGCCCTAGAACCGATTACTGTATTGGCGGACTAATACGACAACTGGTGTGCAAGCGAAAACATGATGAGGGCCGCTCGTAAGGAATTCGTTAATCGAAGGGATGCTCGTTAACCGAAGTTAAGAATCTTATGGAAGGTAATTCGTTAACCGAAAACTCGTTAATCGAGGCGCTCGTTAACCGAGGGATCACTGTATTACATTACCGCCGGAAATGTATAATAACGGAGATAACTTTTCCAAAATATTTTCTATTTTCTCCCGTTAACATCCCACCATTATCGTCTGCCTCTCCTCCAACACTGCGTGTCTCCTGCGTCTCCTTCATAAATCATCCTGCGCATGCGTTGCTGTACACATCACGCGGCCAATCAAAAGCCATTTTGATTTTGAAACCAATTAAAATGTTTTTGGGTTTAATTCGCGGTATTTTTGGCCCAATCAAATTCGAGTATTCTTTTTGGTCTTTCATATTTTGAAATTCAAGTTCAGTTCCGACCATGGAAGCCTGCGATGGGTGTCACTTAAAGTATATTGTAGCTGATTGCGAGTTTTTGGGAAAAAAAACAAAGAAACTATAGCATTTTCTCGATCGCATGGTGTTCTTCCAACCTCAGTAAAGTGTACTAAGAGCAAGACTGAATGTAAATATTGCAAAGACCAACATATGTGGCGTTGTGTAAGAATCCCAGAATGCAACGACGAACAAGAACCAGGCCAATAAGGTAAGAAATAGGTGATTCCATCATATGGTGAGAGTCAGTTAAGTTAGGTTAGGTTTGGTTATTGTTTTTCTAGTGTTTATGTGTGTATTTTTTAGTTGTTTAGCCACTTTTTTTTTCTCGGAAAACGTCAAACGAAAAAAAAATCGCTAAAAAAAGAACGGCAAATTTCCGCCAAAAAGACAAATACACTAGAAAAATATATTTTTAGCTTGCTAAAAGTGAACGGTGTGACAAGAAAAAATTACCGTAAGTTCTTTCTGTTTATTATACCGGGGACCCCGGTTAGGAAGTTAGGTTTGGTTTGTTTGGTTAGGTTGGTTAGGTCTGGTTTTTCATACCCACAAATGTTAAGTAACGTTTATTTTTAAAATATCCAATTTTTAACATATTTCCACAAACTACAAGTGTCCACTATAATATAACAGTGAAAATCCGGTGTTTTCATAATTTTTTTCATTCAATTTCGGTCATTGGTTAGGCCTATATAATTACCAAATAGTTTTTTTGGTGTTTTATGGTGTGTTTCACTGAAATCTGACCTTCATTTCTTGCACAAATAAACAGTTTTTGAAAAAAAAAGGAAATTTTTATTTGTAACAGAAAGCGTTAATTTTCACCAAAATGGCGGTCAGGTTTGAGTAAACACACCATAAAACACACACACAAAATAAAACCCTTGCCTAACCTAACCTAACCTTACTTGACCTAACTTAAACTAACTTAACCTAACCATATTTTTTTGAGCTTACCTGCTACTGTGTTGGAGGATACAGCTGGGCGCTCTGTTATACTTTTGGTTAGACAAAAGAATATATGTCTTTTCTTAAAAATAACACTTGGGTAATATTTCTTAAGAAAATTTGTTAATAATTGCAGGACCGTACGTAGATTTACCACTTTTGCTACGGAATTGTGAGATGTTATATAAGTTTGCAGTATTGACATTGTTACGCCGTCTCTTAATTTACTTAAATATCCAGGTTCTAGGCGTAACCAAACAAAAAAGTGAAGTTAATTAAAAGGGAATAATAATAATTAAAGTAAACCTTTAAGAATTTAATTAATTAAATATTAACACAATAAAGAGCCTCGAAGGCTGTCACAACAAATTGATTCACCATTGAAACTCTTAAGACACAAATGATACTAAACATCGAAACATCAAAAGAATAAAAATAAAGCATTGGTTTATGTTAACACTGCATAAACATATAAAAACTAACACTGAAATTAAATAACGTGAAACAACACTGAATTACTTAAATGTAACTAAGCAAATACTGATGGACATAAATAGAGACATAAATAGGTACTCACATAGATATACCTGTACAGTGGGGTATGCTATAACGAACGGATCCTACTACGAATATTCCTATAACGAACGGTTTTACCTATAAAATTGAGAATGCTATAACGAACGAAACTCCTACAACGAACATTATTTAATTTTTTTTTTTCTAATTTATTGTTTTTTTATTACAAATATTAATGATATTCTTTATTTCAGGGGTTTAGATGCATATTTATGCACTTTTTTACAATTTTTACAATTTTATATTATATTTTTCAGTGTTAAGTGGTTGTATTTGGGGGCCTGGAACGGATTAATCCTATAACGAACGAATGCTATAACGAACAAGGTTCTAGAACCAATTAGATTCGTTATAACATACCCCACTGTACCACATTGGTGGCGACAGGAACAACACAAATAAATTAAGTATAAGTAACAGGTGACGAGTGTCACTCAAAGGATGTGAACTGTATGACAAAAGGACTGAACTCTCTGTCAGTTGGTGGGTCCTATATGTAAGGTCGACTCCCGCCACGCGACCCGCCGGTGGGTCGTTTAACGATGCAGATGGTCGTAGAGAAACAAAGAATGCTTGTTACAATACAAAATGGGTTTGAACAAATAATAACAGTTAAAACCTTAACAGCACAGGGTAAGGTGACTAGATTATATAATAGTAAATACAACACATCATTACAGGAATAATATGGAACATGGAAGCATGGTATATAAAAAAAAATAGAAAAATACGACACAGTCGTAACAACATGAAGTGCAGAAGTATTTCTTATTATAAAACATGTGGGCTGTGATATTGTAGTTAAGAGTTGAAATTCCCACATGGCTACTCTCTTGAACCTTGAGACAACCATCAGACTCTTGTTGAATCCTATGGATTTGACTGAAATGGAAGGCTGCAATGCATTTTTGCTTGTAACAGTACTGCACATTGTCCATTAGAATAATATCCTTTGTTGTCAACCACTGCACATCCTATAGGCATTGGCAGGTTACTATTGTAATGTATTGTTTGTCTTCTCAACCATAAATAGTGATTTAATGCTTCATTTTATTAACGTCCTGTAGATTATTTGGCTAATTGAAATTTAAAATTTCAGCTTTTGGACACTTTCTTCAGCTTCCTGGCCCGGAAAACTGACTTTTATACTGGAGCTCCAAAAGAGACTAGTGAAATGGTAAGCTGTTTGTCTTGTTGGTTTATAGTAGGGATTCCAAAAGCCTGTAACCTAATTTCAAATGGTCTATTAAATTTTGTGGGCGGTTGGGCATGTCATTCACTACCAAATTTTAATAATATGCCAATGTTATCGGCTTAAGTAGGTCTTATTGATTTGTTTACTGTACAGAGGGGGTATTTAAATTTTGTACTGGACATTATTCATCACTAGATGTTAATAAGTTGGCCATGGTGTGATGTGTGGAGAATGTCTGCATACAGTATTTTACTAAGGTACTGTACATTTATTTGTGTTTTTTATTTAGCATGTCATCACATATCAGTTGACTACCATAGTCATTTGAGCAGCTGGTCTGTCCAGTGCTAGTTCTTAGTGCTAGTTCTTTCATTGCACCCCCACTCAGATTTGCATTCTAGAATACAATATGCTGTGGGGCAAATTAAAACAAAATATATATATCCAAGATTTATTTACCTGGATAATAGGCATATGTTGTGAATTTATATTGACAGCATTATGAATGGGTTGACAGTATATTCACAGCATTATAAACATGTTAACATGTTGACACCATTATAAATGTGTTATTTATAAAGTTGGCTGGAGTCTTCACCCAGGATGTGCATTGTAGAGTATGAACTATCCATTAATTTGCTTTTCAGGTTTTAAAGAGTACTTTTACTAGATGCTTAGGGTAACCTTTTCTGTAGTTTTCCGTGCACAAACCATGCACCACACCTCTACAGGTATACTGTTTCCCATCTTTTTTGAGGTTCCAATATTTAGGACAAGTAGAAACATTTCACACACACACATGTCCTCAGCTAGTGAACAAGATACATGTACAGGTACTGTATTTTGTATCTTTATAGTTATTTGTGCAGTACAAATCATATAAAATGTTTGGTTTATTCGGTATCAAGCATTAATATTTTATTTTTTTTATTTTTTATTTTTCCCTTTGAAGGATGAGTATATCAGTACAGGTACATTAAATCCTGTATTATAGTCTTATTTTTTTCTGCAGATGGTCATTGAAAAATTTAAGAAGTACCAGAACATAGCAGTTGCTGAGCAAGAGAAGAAAAAGGCTGAATATGAAGAATTGGAAAAGAAAAAACAAGAACGATTGAAGAAAAAGGAGATGGAGGAGAAAAAAGCAGCAAATGTACCAAAGATTAAAGAACTTACCGAGGAAGAAGCCAATGCGCTAGAAAAAAAATTGTCAAAGGTACGATATTTAAAAGGAATTTATATAAGTTCATCTGGTAAAATAAGCAACAGGACTTTTGTTGGTATGTGACTTAAGCAACTTTATCATAGAGGTGAACTTTGGCTCAAGAAAAAAAAATGAATATCGAGTGTCAATACGAGTACCTGTATAGTTTTATTTGTGCCTTTACATCCTCCCAGGCCTCTGGTACGCTCCATACTCAGTTGTGATACTTGCCCAACTTTTTGGATCGGGTCACATATACACAAACACCTAAACTGCTACATCTAACCAAAGCCATGGAGGAGTGGATGGTAGTCACTTGAGAACAATTAGCCCCCATTGGTAATAGTCACTACATGCCATTGCCCTTCAAATTTACAAGATGAGAAGGTACCAAGATTCAAATATTATATTGGTGATTTTGTTAAATTGAAGGAAGAGACAAAGAACATTAATTAGCCCGGTATGTTACATAAGAAGGATATTGGCTCTTTCTGGAGAATCATAGAGAAGATAGGAACTTTAAGATTGTATGAGGGGGCAAGTGAATATTTTTATGGTAGTACTGTATTTGGTAAAATTTTAGAGTAAAACAGGATAATCAAGGCAAAGTTGCATTTATTACAAGTATTTGGTGGGAGGAGGATAGCCTAAACCATCATGGTGCCATAATTAAAAAAGATGAGAAAAGAATTAGATAATATGCTGGACTGTATGCTGTACAGTATAGTATTTAGAGTATTAATTATTTGAAAGGTCTTTGTTGTTAAAGGGGACACCTAGCTCAAGGATATTCTTAGGTTGATAATTTAGTGTATCTTAACTTTTGAGTATTCTCTGAGTTGATCACTTTTTTACCGGTAATTCCTATAAAGCAAAAATTTTAATAGTTGATGTATTATCTCTTGCACATGAGTTTCAACCTGAAATTAAAAAAAATTTGCAAGAAATGTTTATAACTACAGATATATGTGTTTTTCAACTTTTATCTAGGACTCTGACGATTCGAAACAGCCTGAAGAAGTTGAGAAAATGGAAGATGATGAGGAGGATGGTAAGAATAAGGGAAAGGTCAAACCAAATGCTGGGAATGGCTGCGATTTTGAGAAATACCGTTGGACTCAATCACTACAGGAAGTTGAGGTAAGTGTGAAAATTCTGTAGTTTCTTTTCTGTTTCAGTTGTTGTTACCAGGCTGGAAAATGTAATGATTTTTCTATTTGTAATAACATGAGCAAAGGAGATTTTGTTTTGTTTTTTGCTCTTAGTCATTTTCCACTATAATGCAGGATGACCAGATTTAAGGGTGCACATGTTTGCACACACACACACGTGCGCACGCATGCACTTCACACAACCTAGTAGCACCCATCAGCACCATATCCTTCACCAGAAGTCCATCAACTCCATGCTCTTTGATCATTCATATCCACTACTTTATCCTGGATGTTCATCTCCCTGTCTTCTAATGGGCTCTTCACCCCATCCTTCCATCTTATTGGTCTCCCACTTTCCCTCCTGCCATCCAGCTCTGATTTACAGTACAAGGGGTCATCATTATACTTTGGGATGTGTTCCAGAGAAACAACTGATAGTGAAACATTTTATGAAGAGGAATTTTTCCTCATAAGAATTAATGTACAGTATTTAAGGGTTTTTGCAGTCCAATATGTACAGTAATACCCCTTGAAAGCTAAGGATGTGTTCCAGGAGAGAGGGCTTTCAGCAAATCAGCTTACAATGGGGTAATTATAACATATTGTATAGTATAGGGTTGGGTGTGTGATTTTTGAGGAAAATTGATTATTTTATGATATGTTATTAACCCAGTACCAAATGAAGTTAAATAGCATGAGAATTATGATGAAATTGCATAGTCGTGATAATGAGGTTGAGGGAAGGGAGGAAGTTGTCCTGCCCTACCTCCCATCTATCCCACACAGATTACATTTCCAACTCTTCATTTTTCTTATTTTATAGAATATTTTCTTGTTTATTTTCTTTATTTCTAAGTTACTTTAGAGCATTTGAATAATATTTCCACAACTTTTATGTTTTTTATGTAACGATGGCACACATCTTTCTCGCAGCTAACACGCTCCCATATGTTGTGGTGATTTATAGACTATATTTTCCCATTCAGACTATATCCCTACACTCATATGTTTTCTTGTTTTATATATTTATATTACTGTACTTCATACAGTATTTTCTTTATTCATAAGGTACAATCGTGCATTGAAATGACTTTCTGCAAATTCTGTGGTTACTTACATATAACAATGGCATTAGTGCTCAGTTATGGAAGAGGTGACTGACATATTTTGGCATGCTAGAAACTTAACACTTGCAGGGTACTATAATTACTTTTTATGTTTATTTTTACATTATTAGATGCTTTTAACACTATTTATATGTCATATTCAGGTACATATAGACTTAGTATAAAATAGTAGATGATGCAGCTGGTGTATATGTGAAACAAATGACGTTTAAAGAAAATTTATTACTACTGTGCAGTATATTTGTCAATAATTTACTGTATATGTGAAGTAACATATACAGTACTGTACTCGTACCATGTATAGTGTTAACCCCCTGTACCGGTATACTCTTTTTACCAATCGTTTTTACTTCCCATTCTCTCGCATGTCCATACCACCTTAGTATGCTGTGATCCAATCTGCCAAAGACTCTTTTCACTTTTACAAATCTTCCATATTTTTTTTTATTTCTTGGTAGCTGCATCCTATTCACTCACCATATTGACTTCAAGTGTGTCATGTCCGTCATTTCTGAGATGTAACTCCGTGCTTCCATAGTTCATATTTTGCTCTAATATAATAGTACATTATTGGCTTAATACAGTAATTCCCTGTATAGCTCAATCTCTTCCTCCTTTGATACATTTTTTTCTTTTTTTCTTTCTTTACCCCGGCTATTTATCACTCATTGTTCCATTTGTTGATACATCCACTTCTAGATATCTGAAACACCACACTTACTCTGTTCTACCTTAAATCGAGCCAGACTTAATTTCCACCTGTCTCCTTTAGTGTTCTTTAATGCACTCATTATTAACTTGTAAATTAATTTTCAAACAATTGTATTTTTTCTGAATCCTCCATTAGAGCAAAGCAAACAGCAGCTGACTTATTCCCATTTACTTTGTGTATTGTTAGTTACCAAGTGTTTACCTCTCTTACTGTCTCATCCATGGAAATATTTGACAACCTTGTTGACATTATACATCGTTAACTTAGCATTACTCTAACCTAACTTAATCTAACCTGTGCCACCTTCTCAGTATATACTCTTTAATACATGGTTCATTTTGTCCTGATTTCATACATGCAAATTCAGGCACCACAAGTTTATTAGCTCTTCCGTCTTTTTGTTAACTGAATACAAGGAGGGTGGTTTACCAGCCCTGTGCTCTTAGATGAGGTGGTGGTTTACGTTGAGCCCTGAGCAGGTTACTTGTTTCTGTATCATGTACTGTAGTGTATTTCTCAATAAATTTTAAAATAGTTTGACAAAAAAGTAGTCAGAGATGATGGAAGATTCATGAGATGAAGGGGAAATGAAATACGTTTATTGTTTTTACTTAGTGATTTTATTCGTGTATTCAATACCGTAAATGTTATGCTGTAATGGTATACAGTACTACTGTACAGTTTAAACAATGCATATGGCAAGTGAATAGTTTGAGCAAGGATAGAGAGATATCATCTTGAATGTTGGAACAAAAAGTAAATATTTCTTTTACATATAAAGTCTTACATAAAATTATCTCAAATATTCATTCCGAACTGGACTTGCATAAAAGATTGAATGAAAAATAAAAATTGATTGGCCATGATGAATGATGAAATAATGTCTTAATTGGCTCCCTTACAGTACTTATGATTTTTCACACTGGTGAAGCTTCTTTGATGTATGAGAAGAATTACTTCTTCTATTGATATTTGGTTGCTGCATCAAATATTAAAAGATATATACAAGTATAAGATAAATGGTCCCTTATTCAAGAAATTTAAAATGGAGATTATCAAATTTTCCTCGACTGATCTTTAATATCTCATTCTTTTGGGCTGCCAATTTTTCCAAGTGAATGATGGAAATGATCTATACTGTCCTGCTAGAAAAAGGTCAGTTTGACCTACAGTTCATGCTTCAATCACTTTGTTGAAACCTGTGCTCTTGAGTCCTTTTTCTATTTGTTTTAAGATTATTTAACAGAGAGCTTTTGCCATTCTACTCTTAAAATTTGATTTTGGAATATGTTCTGAAATCTTAGCTATCTATTATATAGAGTAAGTGAGTTTTCAGACCATTATAAAGTTATTGTGTTTTTTTACCTAGAAACCAAATAACTTACAATATGTATGATTAACCCTTAAGCCCCGGGTTAGGGTGCTGCTGGCAGTACCACCCCCCCCCCCTCCCCTGTGGGGTTAAATCAAGAAAAGAAAAACTTTTCCAACAATAATTTAAAAAAAAAATAGCGGACGTTCTGGAATGTCACCTGGGGCGTGCTAGTTGGACGTTCTGGAGCGTCACCCAGGGCCAAGAAGTCTCTTGACCTTAAAATGCTGTATAAAGTAGCATGAGAGATACTTGACCAATTGTTGATGGCAAATAAGAAAAATGTTTGTAATGTAACTTCTTGGTATATTAAGGTTAGCCGTATTCTTAACATGGAGAACTAGTGACTTGATAAAGTAGTAATTTCTTATATAGTTTATAAATTTAAAAAGCAGATATATCTTGCCTATTGCTTTATTTGGAAAATTGCCATGTGGCATTATGCTTAATTTCTTTCATTTGTTTGTCCATTGTCCACTCTCACCACTGTCTCACTATCTTTAGACTCTGCCTTGTGTATGCTTTACTGTACAGTTGAAACAGTCTAATGTAAACCTTCCAGGTTTTGGTGAATCTTGTGAATTCCAGTGATTCTGATTGTTTTCTAGGATCAGTCCATCAATTTTAATGAGATCTAAAGTGATAGTTTTACTGGTATTTTCCCTTCATGGAATTTTTTTTAACAGTTTCATTGTTAACTGCTCAATAGATTTAATTTACTTTATATTTGACATGCAAGTAGAGTAATGTAGTATTCTGAGATACACCTAAAGGAGGAATTTGGGTTGATTGAAAAGGGAAATTTTATGGTCATTTTCTTTAATTCAATTTACATAAAGAACTTCAGTATACAGTATTAATCTGTTTTGCATTTCAATCATGTATCACACTTATCAGAAGTTCTTTATCACTAATGCACACAAATACAAGTATTTTTATCATAATACAGGTAGTAAAATTGGTAATTTGGCAGCCCAAATAAGAATATGTGATTTTTAACTTTGGGTACTGTTCTTTAAAAGGTAAGTTAAATTATCAGGACAGGAAATAACCTGGCCCTCTTACCTTCAGTTTTACCATTATTTTTTCCATCATTATCCCGTCGTCCCTGATTATTTAACCAAAGTAGTACTGTACTGTATCTTATGTTTCTTCTTAAAACTTCTGGTACATTATTTCTCTCTTTGTTCTGCCCAAACTTTGTGTTTCTTCATTTGTTTTACTATCATTATAACTTTTCTATATTCTCCTATAACACCTTATTTCAAAAACCTAAAATCTCCTTGTGTCAACTGAAAGTATCCATGCTTCTGCCCCATACACTAGTACATTACTAATTATTTACAGTATTTCATTTATTTCATTTCAACAGCCTTTTGCTTGATATACTCTATACTGTATTCTTGCTTCAGTTTCTCTCTTTCACCCACAATTATAATTCATGTTACTGTACTGTACTGTACTGTACTGTACTGTACTGTACTTGTATTGAATGTTTTATCAGATATTGCTCTCATCATCATCATTGTTTTATAGCTATATATCATTCTTGTGTGGGTTTGCTGTGATTACCTAATGGTAGCTCTCCATGCTGTGTGTGTTCTTGCAGCCTCTCAGCCCTTATACAACCTTCCCCAGTGTCATTCTTGGCTTATGCTTAGCTCTCATCTCCTCATTCAAACTTATGCTTCTCTTGATCCAGTTGGTCTCCTCCATTCTCTCCACATGCCTGAACAATCTTATTGTACTAATATGCAAAATCTTGCCAGTATACTACTCTCAGTACCCAGTTGACC